GGGGGGGGGGGGGGGGGGGGGGTAGAGGTGTCGCGTGAACGTTTCTTTCTTTTAAAAGCCCGAAAAACAAATACGGTATAGTCTTGAGGAAAACAGCATCTGCTTTTTTTGCAGTTTCGCCAAATTTTATCACAAGACCATTTAACAAGACTGTTATTGAGGGTGCCACAGTAACACTACTTTGTGAGGCCACTGGTAACCCAACTCCAAAGATAACATGGATTAAAGATGGCAAGACTGTGGTATCAGGAGACACACTGAGCTTTGAAACCAACAGAACTCTTTCAGGAAAATACTGGTGCACAGCAGAGAATGGATTAAAACCAACTGTCAATGCTAGTGCAAATATAGACGTACAATGTAAGAATTGACTACATTCTTGGATGGAGACATGTTCTGGTTGAATATACCCCGCCCGTAATTCCAATCCTCCGTAGAGCAAAAAGATGATGACCGGTACATTTACAGATAATTCTTAGTGCGCGAAAACTTTAACAACGATCGTAAGAACGTACAGAAAAGTTCTAAAATCTTCAAACCTAACATACACAATGTCGTTAGCACAGAGACAAACATTGCGAAATATGGCTCTCCTTGTACTTTATGGGCTGTGTTAGGCCGATTCGCATGGTACTGTGGTGAAACGTACAGCCGCCATCTTTTTAACTACGGAGGATTTTAGTTGTTAAGTTTTGGCTCCCCAAGATGGCCTGAACATATTTCACTATTTCTAACATACAGCATCTTTGCGAAACGAAGGTCTTCAGAAACATAACTTACAGTCTTGTGCAAACAAGTACAGTAAGACAACAACAACAACCACCTTTATTTGTACTCGTAGTTACACAAAAACGTACATTTTGGAGGAATGGCTGCCTGTGTGAATTCAGACTGTTAGAGATTCCAAACAGTGCCAAATACTTACTGGAGATTTTAGAATGTGACAATACGAAAGTTAGAAGAAGATCTGTTAGCCACTGAGAATAAACGTCGAACTAATATATCATTTTAGCCGTAGTTTGTTATTCTTTTAAGAGCTGTATTAATTTATTTTGCCATAGTAGTGTTTCTCAGTTTAAAGTTTTCGGAATGCTGTTTAATAAAACAGCTTTGCTTACGAGGAAATTGGATGACATAAGGTGCTTGATATTAAAATCAGTTGTATCTTTTTATAGTTCCACCTAGCTTCACAACAAAGCCTGTTGACCAAACTGTAAATGAAGGCGATGAAACTAATTTACACTGCACCGCGGATGGTAATCCTGTGCCGACCATAAAGTGGATCAAAGATGGCATGACTGTGGGTACAGGAGACATACTGACCTTAGAAACCAAAAGAAATCATTCTGGAAAATACTGGTGTACAGCAGAGAATGGCTTGGATGCGCAGATAAACGCTAGTGCTAAGCTTAATGTTCAGTGTAAGTACATCGAAGCCTATTATTGCACAAAGGGAGGTGTGGGAGCTCGGCCAGAATGCGGAAAAAGCTTTTTGGTTTGTAGGGCGACGCTTGCTACACAATTTGATACGTGCAGTACTGTTCAAACTATATCCAGGCAACGAAGGATATAATTTCGTGTCTTTTTTAATCTGTTTTCATAGATCCACCGAGCTGGATCACGAGGCCAACTAACCAGACTGTAATTGAGGCCGCTACGGTAACATTCCACTGCAGTGCCCTTGGTAATCCTGTGCCAAATATTGCATGGCTTAAAGATGGGAAGACTGTGGGTACAGGAAACACACTGAGCCTCAAAACGTCGAGGAATCAGTCTGGAGAGTATTGGTGTTCAGCTGAGAACGCACTTAAAACTGTCAACACAAGCGTCAATCTTGATGTGCGGTGTAAGTATGAAATATTCTGCAAACAAATTGCATTGACTTTGTATCTGCTGGTGCGCTGTACATGCTTGTAATGATGACCTCTTCGCCAGGATTGCCAACCTCGTACCCAGAGTCTTCGCTCCCCTTGACCAGCGCTCGAGAGACGAGCGACACTCAAAAGATCTGATTTGAAGTCCGAAAATATCGGACTTCCGGTTGAATTACGCATGCCTCAGTTGCTGCAAACAAGTGGCTCAGACGAGACGCTTGGTGTTTTACTTCCGCTCATTTCCATTGTTTTTAAAACCAATCAAAATTGAGCCTGTGACGGAGCTCTCGAGAATCGATCGTTTCGTCAAGCTTGCGCAGTAAGGAGCGAAATAAAACTCCTTGGGCTTGATTGATAGTCACAGCGTTTGTCATTCGTTCGGATCAGGCGTGAGAAAAAGAAAAAAAAAATGGCAATCATGCGTGCTATCGTTGAAAAAGGTTTATAGCTAATGAAATAAATAGGCAGGATGACCATACACATAGAGAATTCTTCAACTGAGTGTCGTAAAACCAAAACCAAAGTAATTACTCTAGCCAATCACATAGGACATGGACAATACAGTGAACCAATCAAAACTCGTAACTAACGCAATCATGTAGCTGACGCAAAGCGCGGGAAAAAAATTGCGAGCGAGTCACAGTTGGTTTTGTTTTTACTTCTAATTGGATGAAAAAAAAGTGGCGCGAGTTTTTTAAGCCAATCGTGTAGCGTAGTTGTTGTAAAACCGATCACTTTTCGACGCTAAAAAAACCGCTGTATATGTAATGTAATCAGGTTGTTTTATCGTCTTCAGTTCCTCCAAGTTTTACAAGTAAACCAGGTAACCAGAGTGTAAAGGAGGGCGACGAAACCACATTCCACTGCAAAGCCATTGGTAACCCTACCCCGACAATAACATGGCTTAAAGATGGGAAGACTGTGGCCTCGGGAGACCCTTTTAAGTTAACAGCAAACAGGAATCAATCTGGAAAATACTGGTGTTCAGCAGAGAATGGACTGGATGTCTATATCAATACCAGCGTTTACCTTGATGTGCAGTGTAAGTATGAATTAGTATCTGTGCAGTACTAATTACTTATTAACCTAGAGTGAGGTGTTTACGGAAAATCTCAAACCTCGGCCTAGCCGTATTGACCAAACGATAGATAAGTTGTTTATTATATGGCTTTTTGCTTTGGCTTTGCAGGCCTCTAATCGGTCCGTGGGCATTACGGAAGAATAATGCCCTATAGTTGGCCAATCCGAGCGCGTTATATCGGCTACAAACACAAGCCATATATTAAAGACAAATAATAGCTAATAGGCATCTTATACGGTCCTATATGTGGACATCGCCTCTCAGTGGGCATGTAGTTATGGCCCTGTCCAGACAAAAAGGCTACATAATATTCGGCTCAAGGTCAATGTGTAAGGACCGATTAAAATTACTAAAAGCCAATTACTTTACTCTCTGTTCTGATTTACTCACTCAGTAAGTACTGGCAAACGGGATATTGTTGAAAAGTTGAAGGGATGTCTTGGTGAATGTTCTGTGAAGGACAGAGACGTTTTTCTCTTCCGGATAGGCCCACATCAATCCGTTAAGCCTAGTTCACACTAGCGACATAATGACATGATAGCAATATAACAGCATGAACACAACGACATAAGGAAAAAAACTGATCTTTTCTTTGTCTTTATTTCGATGTTCACATTACCGACTTGAGCGATTATGTCGTTTATGTCGTTATGTTGCTAGTGTGAACCAGTCCTTGAGCCTAATACGCGGTATTAACTCGATGAATCTTACCCAGCAGATACTAAGGTTAAAATACGTTTTTTATTAATTGTAGTTCCACCAAGTTGCTCGGTACGCTTGACCCACCAGACTGTTATTGAGGGAAACCTCGCAACATTCCACTGCGATGCCACAGGGAACCCAGCTCCAAAGATAACATGGATGAAAGATGGTATGACTGTGGGTCAAGGGGACACACTGAGCTTTGAGGCAAACAGAACTCAGTCTGGATATTACTGGTGCTCTGCACAAAATACGTTTAACACGACTGCTAATGCTAGCGGCTATCTGGAAGTACACTGTAAGTGAATTCCTGTTTCTCGTTGGATGGTTTCTCTTAATGTAAATTGTAAAAAGAACACTACTTTACATATAGTTCAACGTAGAGAGCAGAGATGGCGCAGTGGTGAGGGCGCACGCCTCCCACCAATATGGCCCGGCTGCGATTCCGGCCCGGTGCCATATGTGGGTTGAGTTTGTTGTTTATTCTCGTCTAAATTTGCTCAAATGGTTTTTCTCTGTGTGCTCTCCATCCCTAAAAACCAACACCTCAAATTCCAATCCACCAGGATAGAGGACTCACTTGAAAACCAGCTAGGGCTGATGTGGCTTTCCCTCTTAATATTGTAATTTAGTTATTTATTTAGATTGTAAGCGACCAAAAAAAGCACCCAAAACGTAATTTAACGATTTCCTCCAGTTAAGATTTACTAAAATCAAAACAATCAAAATAATTACCAGCAAAAACGCGAAGCAGATACACCTGACAGGCAACAAGCGCTGGAAAACATGCCTTTGACTAAGTTACCATTGGTATAGATTTGGTTTTGTATTTTGATTAGCTGAGTAGGGGGCGCGAGTTTTTGCAAATAGGTGCACGCGGCAAAGCGTAACTCAACAATCCCAGATAAGTTTCAATACTCGATTGAAAATTGTTTTAATGTAATAACTTTGTTTGATATATATCTTCGTTTTTTTTAGTCAAACCAGAAAGAACGCACCTTTCAGTCGATGCAGATATCACCAGTGCTGTCAAATTTGATAGTTCCGTCAAATTTAACTGCACGGCAGATTCACGTCCAGCTGTCGACGAGTACAGATTTTACCGCGATCAGTCACTCCTTGGTAGCAACAACACTGGTATTTATCACCTTCAGCTTCAAAGAAGCGGTTCATATTCCTGTGTTGCCGTCAACAGCGCTGGGTCTGGACAGAAAGCCACACTCTATATCGCTGTCAAGGGTGAGACCTTTGTAATCGATTTTTATCAAATGCTTGTTTATGTTTTGACTACTTGCAATCTGGTCTTCCTCCGTAATAGGCCATTTTCGAGTTTCCTTTTTGCCTCTGTGTCAAAGCGAGTCTTTGTGCAAAACCATTCATATGAAAATGAGTTCCGCTCACAGGGTCATCTTCGTGCAAATCAAACTTGTTTTCATAAGAAAGGTTTGCACGAAGACTCGTTTTGAAACAGAGGCACAAGGTAACTCGGAAATGGCCTATTTAGGGAGTACTGGAAACTAAGGTTTAAGACGAGAAAGAACTGGGACGTAACAAAGGTGCGGCGCGCACAATTTCCCGCCTTTTTGCGTATAAACGCTCTTTGGACCACTTGACTTGTACTTCGTTAGAGCCAACCTCGTTCCCAGGGTAGGGCAGGAAGATGAGACCCTGGGAACGAAGTTGCGTAAGAGCCAGTAAGGCAACACACCAACCACTTACAAAATATAAGGTAAAGTTACGTTCATTGGATTGTTTACATTCTCTTGTTTACTATTGTGGAAAACGTTTTCGGTTGGTTTGGATGAAGAATTGTTGAATATCCATCAACCATGCCGTTTATATCGAAAATAGTTAAAAATGCTCAAAGGGGACACAACAAAATTAACAATTTCGAATAGTTCGAAGTGATTATCAACCAAACCAACAAAAAAAAAACGGGTTTTTTGAACCACACTTAAATGGTTGATATGAATAGAACATTAATAACATGACTACGCTTCTCTTCGCAGCCTGGAAACCATCCTTCTTAGGTGTTGGATTTGGTCCTTTTTACCTGTTTAAGGAGAGCCAGGCTCGGTTACCTTGCAAACCTCTGGGAGAACCTCAGCCATCAGTAAAATGGTTCAAAGACGGTACAGCGGTAAGTTATGGGCAGAACTCGAGCTACAAACTAGAAGCAGATGGTACTCTAGTCATAACCAAAGTGACAGATGATGATGGTGGTATATACACTTGTATGGCTCAGAACTACTTGGGAAAAGCAAATGCAACAGCTCCTGGGATTTTGCTTGGTAAGAGAAACTGTGTTGAAAAGGCTTAAAGTTATTTTTATCTTAAACCTGTGTTAATAGCGCATATTTCTAGTTTCCTAACTAAGTTGGTAAACGAATAGCTTAAGCAAACACATTATCAGGGCTCGCGAGTGGTTCTTCCAAAACCATGGGTCTCGCAAAATTTTCGTCTAATTTCACGGATCTCGCAGTCTCGTTTTTTAAAGAGTTATGTGTGTCTCATAGTCTAGGTGTTTTCACAAAGCTGTCTCGGAGTCTCGATTTTTCGCCAGGCTACGACAGTCTCGAAGTACCAATTTGTTTATTGTTTTTTTTTTCTTTTTTTGTTTATAAAACCCTTTGAAGTCTCTGTGTCGGAACTGGAGAAGTAAAAATGTCTCGACACGCAAAGAAAAACGCCAGTCTCGCCATCTCTCAAAGTCTTGCTTTTACCATTCACCACCCGTATTATCAGTTTCAACAGGCAATGGAAAACCGAAAATCAAAACTAAGGCTCGTTTGCAGTCAGTCATTTGTTTTGTAATCATTGCTTCATGAGATACAACAAAATTAACTATGAATGTAGTTACCTTATTCTTTGACAATTTTCTTTGGTTTACATTAAAACAGAGAGGACAAAGATTGTTGTCAAACCACAAAACAGAACAGTTACCAAGGGTACACGTGTGACTCTACAGTGCAGAGCCACTGCGGATCCCTCGTTAGAACTGAGATACATCTGGAGAAAGGACGGTGCTGATATTGCTTATGAGTCAAACGTTCAGTTGTTGGAAGAGGACAGAGTGATAAACATACCAGACATAACTGCTGAAGAGGCCGGTGTTTACACCTGCATTGTGTTCACACCGGATCCCAAAGGATCGGAAGACACTGCGTCCGCCATTGTTTCAATACAAGGTAGTGCGAATAAGTTCATGGTGTGATGTAGAGAATGCGCTTGCTGTCTACACAGATTCTCTTAGATGTGCTACAGTGAATTTAGGCTATGTTGGTTTTGGATCAATCGTTTTCGCCGAATTACGTTGACCAAAAAAAAAAAAAATTGGTGCTAGCCTAATTAAAGTTAACGTGGCAATGATTTTGACATGAAATTGATCCATTTTACCGTTTGTCTCCATGCATATATTAAAACATTTATTTCATTTCCCTTCTCAGGTGCCCCACCTCCCCCACGTGACCTTCAAATAACAGACTGCTACAACAGGAAGACTAACCTTTCCTGGAGTCCTGTAGTCTCTAATGACACTCGCGTTACTCACTACCTGATTGACCAGGAATCCGATCACAAATCGAGTGTCTTCAAACTCGCGTACAATGTCACCAGCCCTAATATTACGTCAGTTACCTTAAACCTGCCTGGTTGGGCTACTTTGCGTTTCCGTATAAGGGCTGTGAGCAGCTTTGGACCAAGTCGCCCCAGTATACCTACAGCAGAAGGCATCTGCACGACTTCAGTTGGATGTGAGTTTCTTGTAACCGTTGAAAATGGCACGTGATATACACACACGTACCACTAATTCAAATATAGAGTACGAAGTTTTCCGAAAACTATCCGAAGATTTTTCGGACGTCATTCAACGTATAATCGGGACTTAGTCGTTACCAAACGTGGCATCGTAAATAATTTAGCGCGAAAACGTGGTATCTTACATTTTACAGTGTTCAGTACAATATGATTTTTCTTAGCAGAAAGAGAAATCTTTGCAATTTACTTTTCATCAGGTTCATTCCAAGAATCAAACTGTCTTGTCTTTTGATGAAGCTGCTTCTCGTAAATGTAACTCTTTTTAGTTCATAGTTTTATAGTTAGTTACCTTATTGGTTAATGTTTGTTGTTTCAGCTCAAAATAATTGATGAATTAATCACTTAACCAATTTCATTGACAGTCCCAGAGAAATATCCTGCTAATCTACGAGGTGTGCCTGTGAAGGCAAATGAGCTGTCCATCACCTGGACCGTGAGTACAATAACTCCAGTATAAAGATAAACTAGATATTCTTACCGACCAGATGGGAATAAATTAAACTCGTGTAAAAAATCGTTAATATACAAAACATTCTATTTAAAACAAAAATTCCGTTAGCATTGAATTAGTAATGAGCTTTTGAAAATCTTGTTTTTGTTGTTATTGTTTTTAAATGGTGCGGTTGTAGACATTGTTACACTGGACAAGATGTCGTATTCTGAGTACATTCGTCCTCGAAAGTGAGGGGGGTTAGTAAAGTGCACTAAAGTACAACCTTCATTAAAATATCCTTAATTTATCTTCATAGACGGTAGCTCAGAAGAAGAAGGGAAGTCAGGGTTAGCACTTTCTCTCTCCAGATAGCTAGCCTAAGAGAAAGTTCTCTTGGAATAGGGCGTGCACCCCCACTCCAAAAGAGCTTCCTCACGGGCGGTCCCCCAGGGGGTAGGGTGGAAAGAGAAATGTTAAACCTGTGAGCAAACTCACCTTTGAGTCGTACACGCAAGCGAGAAACGAGTCGGCGAGCGAAGTGATCGGGCCGGAGGAGTCTGGTGCGGAAGCGTGTTCCCTGGACGTAAGGGTGCCAACATGTTAAAATTATTCAACACTATAGGCGTTGTATATTTCAGCAATGAAGAGTTGACGCAGTTCTCTGGGCGCTCTTCTCAGTCGCTCACTTCCTTTTGTTCTTCTAGCCTATGCCCAAGGAAGATTGGAATGCTCCCGGCTGCTATTACATACTGAAATACAGGAAAGTCAATGGCATTTTAGAGGACTGGATTGAGGAAAAAATCGGTGATTCAAAAGTCGGGGTGTTTGCATTGTCCGATCCCGGTTATTACCAGCAGTGGGAGTTTGCAATTAACGCCGGTAATCACGAGGGACTAGGACCGGTCAGTCCTGTTAACAGATCGTATTCTGGTCAGAATCCTCCCGCTGTTAAACCGGAAAACCCTCAAGTAGGAACAGTAACAGACAGCAATGTCACACTGTTCTGGGAACCTGTTGCAGTCAAACAAGGAAGTGTTGATGGATACAAGGTGAACTCTTTAAGTCTGAAAACTTCCAGAATTAAAGGTTACAAAGTTTCCTAGCGTTTTATTAGGAAAGCATCAGGTGATGTTATACATGAGCCGATTTTTTTTCACGCCGATTTTTAATGTATGTTACGCGAGACAACTTTTCACACAACTTTGTTGCGGCAACGGTATGTTACTCAAGACGATTTTTTATTGCAACATGCAAAATTCGGGCAACAATATTGCAATTTTTTGAATTGCAACATGTCGCCGCAACGAAATGTTGCGTTAAAAGTCACCCTGTGCGCCATGCAATCGTGTCGTGTAACATCATTTATAAGTGAACTTTATATAGCCAGTGAACGTTTTTATTAATTTTTAATATATTTTGTCCTGGCTACGGTTCTTCTATTTTTATAACCTATAGGCACTACCTGAACATTCTACTCAATTGCTTTCATTTATGTTTCATCCGCAGAATATACAGAGCGGTTTTCACGTTAGTGACAAAAGTATATCGCGTTTTATTTGGTTTTATTTCGCGTTTTTATTTCTGCTCGATTGGCTTAAAAAAACTCGCGCTACTTTTTCATTCAATCAGAAGTAAAACCAAAATGAATCATAACTCGCTCGCACTCGATTTCCCGCGCCGCTTCGCGTGAGCTACATACATTTGCTTCGAGTTTTGATTGGTTCACTGTATTGTCCGTGTCCTTTGTTATTGGTTAGAGTGATAACTTTTGGTTTTGGCTTCACAACACTCAGCTGAAAACTGCCCTAGATGTTCACATCACAAGGCGGTAAAATTTCGCCACATAAGTTCGGAGCAAAGGATTTTGAAAAATTCAGTCTTCAGTATCAAGGCACTGTGAATTATATTAGCTAATAACATCATCGCATCCTCAAAAAACAAAACACTGAAACTGATGCTGCCATTAGGAGGCAGTGTGGCCCAGTTGTCAGGGCGCCGGGCTCCCGGAGGTCGCGGATTCAAGTCCACTTAGTCGGAGTTGTTTCTCGGAAGACCCTGTTCAACTCCTCGGTCATGCTTGTAAATAGCCGACTGGCCTGCCTCCCGCCAGTTGGGTCTTGAAGCCTATTTTGTTTGAAAGAATGAAAGATGCGAATGCAGCCATAACACTACTGGAAAAATGACCTGAAAAAATTTCAGGCTCTGAACGGGATTCGAACCCACGACTTTGCGTTACCGGTGCAATGCTCTACCAACTGAGCTATCAAAGCCACATGAGAGCGGTCGTGTGTGAGTTCGGCCTTATATGTTCAGTGGACGTAACACTCGGCTCAAGCATATGAACTGCATGGAATTCATATGCGACCGCTCTCATGTGGCTTTGATAGCTCAGTTGGTAGAGCATTGCACCGGTAACGCAAAGGTCGTGGGTTCGAATCCCGTTCAGAGCCTGAAATTTTTTCAGGTCATTTTTCCAGTAGTGTTATGGCTGCATTCGCATCTTTCATTCTTTCATTTAGTTGCTACTGTTGGACATCTATTTCCGTGGAATCCCTATTTTGTGTATTTGATATATTTGTTTCCTTCAGTTAAGTGGCATGCCGGTGAACTAGTTACGTGTAGCTAAGCGCATTGACCACACAACAAAATTTGAATTTGAATTTTGAATATTGAATAATGTTTCGAAATATTTTTTGTCCTACTTTGGTAGATTTATTACTGGGGTGAAAGTCTTTCAGTCAGCATCAGAAGAAAAAGACGTGATGTACCCAGCTCGGCTAATTCTCTGAAGGTTCTTGGAGGCGATACTCGACAAGCTACCCTTACTGGTCTCAAACCATACGCCAACTATAATGTGGTCGTGAAAGCTTTTAACTCCGCTGGTGAAGGCCCTGAAAGCGTTGCAATGTCCTTTGAAACTTTGGAGGGTGGTAAGCGAATACCTATTGCTTGAAGGTCAAAATAGGTCAAAATACTGAACGGACCAAAACAATCTGAAAGGTAGCAATGCAATGAACTAATCATTAGTTTTGTCAGACGGTCAGACAGACAGACTGACACTGTGACAGTGACTGACTCACTGACTGACAGAGTGACTGACTGACAGACAGACAGACAGACTGACCGATTGACTTACTGACAGAAAGACAGACAAAGACAGATAGACAGACGAACTGACAGACAGGGTGACTGGCTGACGGACAGACAGAAGGACTAACTGACTGACTGATAGATTGACTGACAGAGTGACTGGCTGACAGACTGACTGACTGGCTAGCTGACAGAAAGACGGACAAAGACAGACAGAAAGACAAACTGACAGACAGAGAAACTGGCAAACAGACAGACAGACTAACTTACTGACTGACTGATAGACAGATTGACTGGGAAAGTGACCGGTTGACTGATGGACTGATTAACTGGCTGACAAACTGATCAGTTGATTTACTAATTGATTGATTGAACCAATCACGAGTACAAGTGTGCTTTTGTTAGCTGTATCGAATTGTTTTTGAAAGCTTCATAAAACCTCTTTTAAATATTTACCATGATAAATGATAGAAGAAATTTAACACAAAAGTCAGTCAAAGCTAATGAAGCCAAACACAATATGTGATTCACATTTACTCAAATATGCTATCTGATTTACTATCAGTACCAGGCCCTCCATCAAACGTAAAAATATTTCCATTCGGAGAATACCTACTGGTCACGTGGACACCGCCCAAGGAGCCCAACGGGATCATTACGAACTACCAAGTGGGGTCCGCTGAGTACAGTGCGTTATCGCCCGAGAGTGTGGTAGTTACCATGGAGACAGTACAACCCAATGTATATAAGAAATTGTTGGGTAATGAGAGATTTGAAACAAGCTATGTTGTGGAATTGCGAGCGAGAACGTCGAAGGGCTGGGGTGCCAGCTTAAGAACAACTACAACAACTATGAAAAAGTCAGGTGAGACGTTTTAAGCGATAGACTACCTACGTCATGACATACCGCAAGATTTAAAAGCGTAACCTTTTTTTAATTCCAATTGCGCAACTTTTCCGTAGATCGAGAGAAAAAAGTCCCGTTTGTGCGGTTTGATTATTCGTTTCAAATAGACTGGTCCCCAACTGAATCAAAACTCCGTGATGTATTGTTTGGAATCCACATTTCTATGGCGTTTTGGCGTCTTCAGCATAACCCTTTCTCGAACGTGTGAAACACTTTAACATGTACAAACAGTCTTAATAGACTATGAGGAGGATATTTCTTGTTCCCGACTGTTTTTCTTCTGGGATCTGTGGAAAATATGGCAAGGTTTTAGCCAACTCGACAGCTAAGTATTCTGCGAAGAATTTCGCAGGATAATTCATAGATGTCCGTTGTCGGATGTTACTAAAACTGGTAACGGGGAACCGGGAACCGGGAACGGGGAACCGGGAACGGGGAACCGGGAACGGGAGTCTGGGAACGAATGTACAGCGGTAACCCGCCTAAGAATTCGACATGGCAGACAAAGGAAAAGAAAAGGGAACAATTTGGGGGAATGTAAGGAAGTGTTACGGTTCCCCGTTACCAGTTTTAGTAACATCCGTCCGTTGTCTTTTCACAGCTCCTGCTAAGCCAGAAAAACCCACTGTAGTCGTAACAGGAGAACCGGCCGCGTTTAATGTGACGTACAACTTTGGTGTCGGAGGTGGATGGACACACGAGTTCAAAGTTTTATACAAAAAGAAAGGTGAGAATAATAATAATAATAATAGCAATGATAATAATGATAACGATAACGATAACGATAACAGTAATGACTCAACAATCCTTTTAACCAAAGAGACATTTCCTATTGGATCCTGCTAAATACGAAATAATTCACTGACCATGAAGAACGATAAGAACACAAGACCTAGTTACCTTAGTTATCAACCGTTTTAACACTGTTCAATAATGACGTAAAATCCCCTTCAGAGAGATTCTTTTCTTTTCATTTTACAGGAGAAGGAGAACAATTTCAGGAAACTGCATGGGTGGATCATTTCCGCATGCAGTCTACTGTAATCAAAGATCTGGACTTTGCCGCGCTGTATGAAATCAAGACTATTGGTAAAAACACTGTCGGAACAAGTCCAGAAAGTAACATCACTGAAGCTTTTGTAGCGGGCGACCCTGTTGTCGGTAAGCTGTTTAAAAAAGTGGTCGTAGCCAGTTTGAACCGGAGCATCCTAGCGTTTTGGCAGCATTAAATGAATGTTTCAGGGATTTTCATGCTAGCTGCTGGCCGGTAATGCCGGTAATAATTCATAATACCGCCTGAATCAAACCTAATTTTTGTTATGACTGAATTTCAGGTAAAGCTGTTGGCTCGCCGATGTATGAGTCTGATTGGTTCATCACACTCATCATTGTCTCAGGCTGCGTTTTTCTTCTTTTGGTGATTGTTGTTCTGGTTAAACGTCACAGACGAAGGCGTAGCTTGAATTTTAGAGGTAAGGAGTTGCCCTGATCTAATCGTTACTTCTCTTTACATTGTCCTGGACGGAGTCATATTGTATTGTTTTGCATTTTCTGACGAGACACTTTACCGTCCCAGTGTCTCCCTACCCAAAGATATAAATGGGTACGGTCAAATTTAATGCTGGAGGAGAGGGGGAGGGGGGAGGGGAGGTGATCTTGCGATAGACTTGCTCCCATCCAGGGTGGACTAGAAATACCGTTAGTTATTTCATGTCGCGGAAACGTAGTTGGTATCTGATTGAATTAGGTATGTTATGACAATCCAACGGCTGATTAACTCGGATAATAACATTCTGCGCCAGCTTCGAGGTCAGTTTAAAAGAAGTTCTTCACACATGCGTTATTCTTACCACAGCTATAACGCTAAAGCAAAGTGCAAGCAGGATGACAACACTCTAACATTATAATTACATTGTAATAAGACCCGATCTGCTCTAAAAGTAGATAATAATTTGGGGTTTGGGGGAATATGGCAACATGATCATTTATTTCAAGGGGACAAGGGATATTTTGGGATTAATTTGAGGGAGCAAGGGATATTAAACGATTAAAGGAAAGTTTGACGAAACATTTATGGGAACAATGGAACTGGAGAAATTTAGTAAACCCTTTGGCATGGCTGGCAAAAAAAACTTCAATCATACGCAGAGATACGTAAGACTACGAGTACGGTGGAGATTCAATAGCAAGTTTTCAGTGAATAAGCTTACACAGAAAGCATATCGCCCTCCATTATCTTAACAGTGAAGATGTCTTTATTGTTTGTGAGAAGTAGGATTGATAATTTAAAATTGTCTGCCATTGATAAGTTTGTCATTTTGTTATTTTACAATTTTGACTTACCTTTTGCGAACTTTCTTTGATTTTCGCCACAACAACTTTTTGGCAAAATCTCGGATTATAAAGACGCGGCTACCACATTTTTCCCGCCAAAATGACACCCGCGCACTCTTTCCTAGATCTCATGAGGAACAACGTTTAAGTACCACGAAGAGATATCGTTCTATATTACAGAAATTATCATACATACAAGGGGCTGTGATTAACGTATTATTTTGTGATATTAACAGTTGCCGAACACGAGAAGGAAATTGAAAATGAAAAAGAAAAAGAAAAAGAGATCCCTGCCCGTGTCGACTTCAAACCGCGCGAGGACTGGAGAGGAAGACTGGAGGAGGCCGACCGCGAGAGTCACGACAGCCTGGATGAGTATGGTAGAACGGACGCACATTTCACAGAAGACGGTTCCTTTGTAGGTGAAATTAGCATTGATAAGCAGGAACCTTCACAAGAAGAGGTTAAACATCCAGTTGTGTAGCAGAGGTCCATAGGAAAGTGTTCCCTTGATCTCAGTTCTGTGAAGGCTGACGACAGTGTGGCGTTCAAAAAAAATACATTTTTCGTTCTTTGATAATTGCTAGCTTTTCGCTACGAACTTTTTGCTCAGAATTTTATTTCATTGTATCTTTTTTGCGCTGTCTTTATTTGCCTATCCTCTCTCGCAATACTTCTCTAAAACGACTCAATCAACAGCCAAGGTAGCTTGTCACGCAAAACCTTAGAGATGCGTTGCGTGACGATAGAAATTAGCTTAGAAGTGCTGTCTGCAGCTGAGTAATTTAATGAGGACTCTTTCTATATTGTTGTAGTCGTACAAGTTGAGGCAAAATATGAAGACTACACGTATCCCATAAAAGCGTTGTAAAACTGTTTTTCAATCTCGTTGTTTTAAGATTAAAATGCAAATCGTTTTAAGAATTTTCTCAGCCAGGGAAACAAGTGCGTTTACGAAAACCTTTATCGATGTGCTCGAAGGGGTTCCCATTCTTATCAACCAATCAGAAATAGGACGAGCACACTCGAGGGATATCCGAACGTTGACACGTCAGTTTGCCGCCATTGAGTATACGTTTTGTTGCTAGGCAACTACGCCGAAAACTGCGGGCTCAGTTAATTCTCGGAGACGGTTCTGACTTGTAAAGGAACTTGTTTCCTAGACTGTATTTAGTCTGTAGTGCATTACTTAGGAGCGAGATAATCTTTCCTGTTTGATCACCATGCAAATATACACTAACATTAGCGTCCTGTTCACACTAAATCTTAAACATATTTAAAATGTTTTATGTTGAAATATCTTGCAATGAAGATCGCCGCACTGCTGCTACGTAACAAAGTTTTGGATTAATTTTGAGCAACTTTTCGACATTTTTTTGACAACTTTCTGATGGCCTTAGTTTCAAATGGCCAATCAAAATGCAGAAACTCCGAGACGACATATCAAACGGAGAGTGTCGCCTCACATTTCAATAAGAGAGGATAAAGGGTAGGATAATACAGGACTAATGTCCAAGGTAGCCCTCTCCAGGTATTTAATTAGATCATTCCCGGTTTCAGAAATTCGAAGAAGGCCTGGAAGTAGCCAAACCAGAGACACGGATTTTGCTTACGTGGACAGCCCGTGACTTTTCACGCATTTTCATCCCCCAAGAAAACATCTACGCATGCAACGCACGTGGTAACAACCGCAGGAGAACTGGATACCAGATCTAAAAATAACTTGAGAACAAGGCCTATGTGGATGGTTACCTCTGTTACCCTTCATTCTCTCTTGATTTCGACTATCTGTTCTTAAATGCGTACCTCTGTAGTAGATTTAGGTTATCTTTGCTTTGAAGTTGTAAATTTGTCGCCTTTCAATTGCAATGCTTTACCAAGATAGTCGCTTAGCGCAAAGAAATGTTACTTGTATACTGTCTGTTAGACAATGTATTAGGCTTTTGCTCAGGGTTGGACTGAAGCTCTTTACCCCCGGAGGGTCTCCCATATAAAAGGGCGAGAGTGCTAGTCGTACCTTCGAGCCGAAAACAATATGACAGGAGACAATGTTCTTTTAGAATTGGTACCTCTTAGAGGTGAAA